GCTTTAAAAACTTTCTAAAATTCTGGATATACCTACAACAAAACCACAGGAAAAAAATGCTAATGTGTATGCTGGAAATACGAGTGCACATGCTTATACAAAAAGACAAAAGGGAAGGTCAAATTTCAGGTTACAACATCGAGTACCACTATCACGTTTTTTTTCTCCATCAAACCTCTGCACATAACCGAGAACCACCAATCTGCCATTAACCACCACACCCTCGATTTTCTTCCCTCTTCAACACATTCTCCTTCCACCTAACAGCTCCGCTTCCTTTTTCGTCCACCCGCCCATAATTCAATAACATTCAACAACAATAACTCAGTTATGATTAGTTCGATTCAAACAACAACAAGGACTCATCTCACAACAAACAACAAACTCAACGATTCATACCACAACAATGCACCATTTATGCGACGGGATAAATTGAGAGCAACTAACAACACCACGTTCACCGTCATTTCGCCAGAATGTGAAGTAATTTTGCTTTGCTTACGTGTTCTATTCATTTTACTGCTTGTGTTTGTTTATTTGTTTAAATATTAATTTTATACTTGGCATTTTGAATATTATATACATATACATATACCTTCAGTTCGATTTAGCTATATAAAATACATCATTATTTTGTTTAATATATATTAGTTTTGGTTCAAATTTTGTTATAAGCATAAATTGTTTCTTTTTATTTAGTAATTTTTTATTATAATTAACTAGGTTTTTTTTTGTAATATAATTGGTTGTTTGGGCCATTACAATACTTTGTTTTAGACCCATATTAGTTTACACCTTATATTTCTAATATACATCCCTCTTGTTTTATTATTTTTTATTTTATTTTCTTGATTAAATTGTTATTTTAGATTTTTAATTAAGTAATTGGTTAGATTTTTTAATTGAGTAAATAATTATAGTTTTAGTTGATTAATTATTGAATTATTAAGTAATTGCTTGATTATTCACTTGGTCGTTGCATTGCAAATTCGTGGTATGAACTTGATTTTTGCTTCGAACGCGTATGGACGCTTATATTTTTTCTTGACTTCTTACAGAGTGATTTCTACATGAATCTGCTCTAAGATAATTTAGCTAATTCGGGTTGCTTTCGATTTTGGTTGGTTTTTAGTCTCATGGCTTACTCTTGGACCTTTTTACAATGAATTTGGTTTATTCTCGATCTTGTGGCTTACTGTTGGGCCTTCTTACACGAGCACCTTTTATTTATATGTATTTGTTTGATGGGTTTGCTTTTAATTGCTTTATCATATCCCCATTCAGCAAAATATACCCCCATTTCCATTACGTGTAAATATTTTACCGCCTTCCTAACTCAAGAATAAAATCAATCATCTCTCAAAAAGAACAAAAAAATAAGTCTGATCCAACGTCGAGCAATTTTCACAAAACCAACCATTTATATCACTTCAAATAATCACTTTCAACCAACTCAATCCTTATCATTTCAATCTCAAATCATTTTCATAATCATCTTACAACAATAAAACCCTTGATCCAACATTAAGTGGCAATTTCTCAATCAAACCCAAAAACCTTTGAAATATAATTAAGATTGTGCGTCACGAATCTTAAGTAGTGGAGAAGGAGCGAGAATGAGCTTTCCTACCCTCACTCTGAGTATTTTGAAGACAAGACGCTGGCTTAGTTGTTTGAAATATTCGCCTCCACTCATAGTCTTTAGTGCAATTCGAGTCAAAAATAACATTTTTTCAAAACCCTAAAATCAACATCAACACATAAAATCTATCTTTTCTCGCCCCCGTGCGATCGATGCAAATTCAACCTATCTTTTCTCGCCTTAGTGCAATTGAAACCTTTCAAAACCTAACTAATCTCCCCCGTGCGATCAAACAACTTTTTGTAAAAGAACATTGTTTAGTCCTTCTAACGCGCATACAAACTAGTATTTAAGCCTCCACC